ACTTGAATCGCTACCAATGAGATCTTCTCTCAAAACTGCTCTAGAGGAGTTGTACACCCCTAGCTGCCACTGCTATTCATTGGCGTAAAATAAAATAAAATGTTTCGCTCCAGATGACGGTGCAAAGTATTATCTGTATTTTGATTTAGCCTGCTGATCTTAAAGGTGCATTGAAAAATGTGATACTCCGACTGATGCTTCTGTTGTTGTGGAGTAACTCATGCAGCCAGCTATGGCTCTAGGATTTGGTGTTACATGTTATTTATGTAGTTTATTGGAAAAATTCGGTCACAGTCCCTGTGATCACTGTTACGTTGCAATTATGGCTTAATTTTTTTGGTGATTTCGAAAAGTTTTTTGGTTTGGACGTTTGTTTTGTTGTAGTACGGAGTTAGACTGATGGCCTTAATCTAAGTTTTCTTGTGGTTGTTGTTGATTGACTTGCATCCCACTGGGATTTTTTCCACACAGCATTGGTGTACGGTGCTTTTTTTCAGGAATATTTTGCTGTTTTTTTCATGGATTTTCTGTTTGCACGGTCACACAGTCACATTAAGATGTTTTTCTTGTTCGTGTTTTTTGTTTTGTTTGTTGTGGTTGCACCCGATTCAAGAGCCGAATGGCTCACAGGGCTATACCAAAATAAATAAACTGAAACTTTCCTAAAGTGTGGGCATCAGCATTTTGAGCAGAAGCCACCCCATTAGTTTGTAGCAGACACTGAGTAGGGAGATAGGGCTGTAGTTTTGAGTGTCCGATGCGTCCTTGCCTGGTTTCAGAATGGCTATTATCCTTGCCTTTTTCCAATCCTTCGGAACGATGCCTGAGGAATGGATGTCAGTGAAGAATGTGGCTAGCCATTTTCTCGCTCTTGGTCCCAAGTTCTTGATCAATTCTGGATAAATATCGTCAAGACCTGAGGCTTTCCCGCATTTCAGCTGGGCAATACTGGCATCCACTTCCTCCACTGAGAATGTACGGGATACTTCAGAGGTTTCTTGGCAGTTATCTAGTGGCAACAAAGTTATTTGTAGACTTGCCGTCTTGTGTTTTTTTGTCGATCGAAGTTCGTGAATTGTTGATAAGTTGCCTAGCAATCTCGTCAGGACTGATTTGCGGAGGTTTGTAGGCTGGCGTCGCAGCTGCTCCCATCAATCTCAGGAGGCGCTCGGCTTTACGGCACGATTTTGTGCCTCAACCGTTTCACGCCACTTCTCTCTTCTTTGCAAATTCAGTGACTCGAGTAAGGCTTTTGCAAGTCTCCTGCTTCTTATCAGCATTGCATTTCCGGAAAAGGTGTTCGCTTTCTGGAGACGGCCTTTCTGGAGCCTATTGCGATGTTGGCCTTGGCAACTGCCTTGATGAGACCAATGAAGCGAGGGTAGTTGACTGCACGTGGAGGTATCATTCCAACTGATTCTTCCAAATCCGCAGTGAAATTCGCCCATTCAGCTGACCTCAGATTCCAACGCGGTTTTGATGCGCAGCTGAAGAGCGGAATCTGAAGACCGATATCGATCACTACAGGTCTTCGTTGGCTATTTGGAAAGTCGTCAAGGACTGTTCTCGTTGACGGCATGGGATTTCCGTTCTGATCCCGAGACACAAAACATAAATCGGGCGTACAGCACTTTTTCCACCTCGCCGACTTGAAAGTACCGCGGTCTTCTGCCAATGACGTCAGTTGTTCACCAGCTCTATCGTTGGCACTTTAGCCCCACAAGGTGTGGTGGCTGTTGAAGTCGCCTATGTGATTGATAGGGTGGCTTGGCTGCGGTGATGCCGGACACGGCCACTCCATACCTGGAGGCTTGTAGACATTGACCACTGTCACGTCGTTGCTCTTGATGGCGATGTAACGTGGCGAGGTGTGGCATGACCTAGACCATGTCCTTAAGGCCCTCCTTTAGGTATGTTGCAAGGTCATGTTTTGCATGATGGCTTGCAGCAATGAGAGTGTATCCGATTGTCTTCGATCGAGGGCACTGTCGACCCAGACGCGCATCTTCCAGTGCAAGGGTGTCAACGTCCTGAAACTGGAGAATCTTCGCGATGTAATCGCATTTCGCATGGGAGAGGCCCTCGATGTTAAGTTGCACGATTCGCAGCGACGGACCCGATGTTCACATTGCTCTGACCTTGTGAAGCGCTCTCTGTACTGTTGCTTTTCAGGCCGGGATACTTTTGTCGGGGATTCGGCCGCCGATGTGACATTTGTTGTGCTTCTGCATGTAGCAGGGAAGACCGCCATTACCTTTGCTCTCTATATATATATTTTTCACAGAATGCATTGAAATCCTCGAGATGTTGATAAATGCCTACACACTTGCGTTCAACTTTCGTAGTTCATGTGTTGAAGGTATGTTTTTATAACGTACATATAAAATTACAATGCAAAACCTGTTGTCAATCCACTGCCAGATGAAGGCCTCCCCATGTCGTGTCGGTCATGGAGATTGTTTGACCATACTTTACCATTTAACACGTAGGCTTTCCCGACCAATATTATTCATAATAATGGTGTTTGGGTTAGATCGCGATCTAACCCAAACACCTTTATTATGCATACTTTACCATACTGGTCAGTGCAGGCTGATCGGGGGGGGGGGGGGGGGGGGGGGGGGGCAGGAATGGTTCACATATCATTCACCACCGATGTTCGCCGTGTTAGCTGGGAATTGAGCTTACGGTGCTCAGTTTTGAGCACAGTGCGGCAACTACAGCGCCACTGCTCCACCCCAAAATATATAAATTCAGAAGAAGAAGGAAAATATCTCATGGCAGTCAATGTTTGATTTTTAAAATATGTATGTGTGTGGTCATAATAGATACCCGAAGCATAGCAGGAGCAGTTAAAACATAATCTTTCATCGCCGACAGCAATCTAATCTGAATAACTGTCACGTATGAAGTATTGCCCCATTTACAGCGAAATGCAAAGAGATTTAAAGCAGCAACACAGGATTTAGCGCAACTTATACGGCACAAAAGTTCAATTTTCAGTGACCTCTGATCTTAAAGGTACATTTGTCCTGCAATAACCACAAAGAATGGCCCAGTGCAAGTTTTTGTGACCTGTTTGGGGAGACTGGGCCACATGCTTCAGTTAATGTCACCAGTACGGGCTATCAATCACAGAATTAACGATATTAGACATATCCGACTGCAGAAAATCCAGACTGCCTCATTGCTGCTGCTTGTGAATTGAACGTCAAACCCCTAGCACTGCTCCCATACAGGGTCATTACATATTTGACCAGCACAGACCACGTGCTCCGTCAGCATGGTGCACGCGCACGCCACTTTAATCACCCCGTGTTTCTGGTGAGCCTCTGACCAAATCACCCGGAATACGTTTGGGCTTAGCAACTGAGCAGGGTTGAGCCTGTGTAATGCTCAGATGAGCGGCCACCAGAATCAGAATCGGAATATTTGTTTATACTGAAGGAATCCGATGAGCTATAAAGCTCTTTTTTCACACATGTCCAGTTGGGGCATTGCAGCAAGCAACAATACAAAACAACGATAGGTGTGCACAGTACAAGCAATGCAAACAAATCACCCAAACATATACAAATACAACTAAACCATCCCCATCCTACCAGGAAAAGCCCACCGAGGTATTCACTTATTTTTTTTTTAAAAGCGACCTGGCCACAGACGATAGCTGAACAAAATGGAGTATCACTTGGACAATTTGAGCAGCAAAATAATCTTAGTCTACACGCATGCTTCTGAATGTGGAGGGGGAAACCGGAGGAACCTGTTGAAAAAAAGTCCACGCGACCACAGGAGAGATTGTGCAAATTCCAAATATACAGGCGTCAGGGTCTGGATCGAACCCACGACCTCCTGCATGCGCTACATTGTCAGCAGAGGGCAGTGCAGCCGAATCCACTGTTGTGCTGTACTATGCTCCATTGTCTGTGCACCACACCCTCTGCAGCCGGCAATGACCAGAATGCTGAAGTGCGGTCAAATGAACCTCTACAACGTGGGACCTTTTTTTCCAGTATCAAAGTATGAAAAATAAGAAGAGGTTTTACCCTTTCTGGCAATATAACAGATGGTATTATGTTCGAACACCAACAGAGGTTCCATGATATAGTTTCTCACCCAGAGCTATAAATGATCTGATAAGTGGCATTGTCTTTGTACTGTTCACCTTTTGACATTTTCTGGTCTGACACTGGTGAGGCTAGGCCATGAGGAAGGTTGTCTCTGGTGTAGGCCAATCAGTTTCAAAGACAATGCCCATATATTGAGCACATGTTTGCATGTTCACCACACGTACGTGTAGTTAATGCAGACTTGGTTCCTTGCAAAATGTATCTATCTGGTGTTTGAACATCATAACACCTGTTTTAATGACAGGGTATATAAAACCAATTCGTATTTTCCAAACCCTTACAACTTACCTGTCATGAGTAAACCCTAATCCATCAGTGGATTGGCAATAGATAATTCACATCTATATGTGTTTTTTTTGTAGAAACTGGCCACAAAGGAGATTGAGAATTCACACTGGACTTGCCTCCGTCCGTACGTACGGCAGGCAAGGCTGAGCTATGTCCAATTCACAATGAAGAGCAGGACTTGTTAGAATCTTATTACTGCCACCTGGCTCACACCCAAGGTGCTCAGGGGCCCGGAAGCACGGCGGGGGGTTAAGGTGAACCTGTGAAAGTTCACAACCCTCGACGCAAATAGGGCTCAGTGGGAATTGGACCTGCAGCTGAAAAATCTTCTATCCACGGCACTTGAAGGGGGTGACAGGCTCGTTGCGAGTGTCTCTTTCAATGCACACATTTCCCAACCCATGTTTCTGTGCTAATAATCAGCCTGGGCAAGTCCCCAGCCGCTTTTGCGGTGATGAGAGGCCTATCGACTTTTGATGACGATTACAAATTAGGGGAGTGAAATATCAATGCCGATGCGCTCATTTGCGTTGAGGTGTATTGACCGGGGCGCGCCCCTCCCTCCCCGCTGTCGTTCTACAGGGAGATGCGGGACGATGGAAGTGGAAGGCAAGCTTCGCTGCCGAGGTGGAGAGTACGGGCGAAAGGTCTGCGGAGCGACGAGGTGACACGTTCGCCAGGGTCACCCTGATCACCATCACCACCACCACCACCACCGCCCTTTCTACCAGCAGTGCAGCACTTCCAGGTGGTTGGCGAGTGCCAGGATAGCACCCTGCACATGAAGTGCAAAGGAGTAGCTATCGAGGGTGCAGGCGGTGTGCGACTGCACTGGGATCCCACACGTCACCGCACTGTTCAGTATGGGTTGATGAGAGCTTGGATGCGGGAGCATAGACGTGCAGCACAACAATGGATTTTGCTGGACTGCCCTCTGCTGACTTCCAAATAGCAGTCCTGCAGCCGTTAATGACAACCTGGAATGTTAGGTGGATGCCCATCCAAATCAATATCCAGGTTTAGCCGTGCTTAGCTTCTGAGAATTGATGGAATTAGGTGCATAAGTGTATAACATCAGTGTACAAATTTCATTGTGTGTATATGAACCAGTGGGACTGATGATCCCAGGAAGGGTCTAGAATACATTAGGTAGTACAAATGTGCGGTTTTGTAATGTAATTAATCACGGAAAAACACCTGAAAGATTAATTGGTTAATTTCTTAATCAGCTGCCCCGACGAGGAATCTCACAGCTCCCAGAGGCTGCCAAGGGAGTTGTGTTCATGTCCCATTGCACCACCGCGTGTTTCGAACACTCAGTGGATGTCTTCTCTTTATCAGAAAACGAAAAATAAAAAAAAATCTAATCCGAAACACTCACTTCTACAAAGGTAAAAGTGCAGCGTAGCGTTTTCTTGCTCACATCACTGCTGGTTGAAGGACCTCCACTCTAAGCTCTAGAGCCCCTTTAGAGGGTGTTTGTCCGATACTCTTCCAGGCTGACCAGATGCTTTGGGAGAGGTGTGAATACCCACACTTTAATCCACCGCGCGCAACCTGCCAATAGACTAAACGTGGTGCACCCATTCATACCACTGGGTGGACAGAGGCGGTGGGGGAATTTATGAACGTTGCACCGTTGTTCCAACTACCGTGGAGATTAAACTGATTCAGCGACAAATCCAGTGTGCCATCCTTTACAACCGGGCCGCACAGCAGCAGGAGGTGAGCGGTGAGTCCACGCATGGCCCGCCCCGATTATTTTATTTACCACTTCCGTCCGCGCCTCTTTCCCGCACTGCGCACTCATCTCAGTCAGTGTTGGTAAGCCCACAAGCTAACCCCTAGTAGCCAAAATGAGTAAAAAACAAACGTCGCTGGCGAGCTTCTTTGAAAAGGGGGAAAGACCCAATGATAACCCCCCCCCTCCCTCCCCGGGCCGTGAAAAAATTGTCTTCCACGAAACCGGTCCCTGGTGCCAAAAAGTTGGGGACCGCTGCTTTACACAATGGCAGCCTCTAAACATGTGAATCACTGCTACACTTTTGGGTAAAAAATTACATTTAATTATGATGCTTTGTATGATTTAAGAATTTGGAGAGCAGTCTGTGGGGCGGCTAACTGATTTACTAAATCGATGTAGTGCAATTTATAAATGGGACTTGTTTTGTTTATGGCCTGGTCAAGACACTTATGGGTTTGGCAGTAGGTGGGTAAGCAATCCCATAGGATAAATCAATTAGGGGCCTTAATGATGATTAATTAACAAGTGGTTAACTGCAATAATTAAAAATAATTTGAAACCAGAGGCAGCGGGCCGTTCCCCATATTTCTATCTCCTGCTTATGTTGACGGTGTGTACGTGCCTCACAACGTATCATATCGGGCCCGCACATTGACTCAATAAAAATATATATATACAAAATGTAACCTTATTTTCAGTTCACAAAGCAAAATAACATGATAAATCAAAGTTAGTATTTGGGATTTCTGTTTCAAATTGGTGATGTCCATAAGGTTGCCACCTCTTAAGGTATAAAAAAATGGGACATATCTTGGAAGGAAGATGAATATCTCACAATACTGGAAGAGGGGGGGGTGTAAATATCTGCGTACCATCTTGAATGGTGTATTTTCATGCAATTGATCAAGTTTCATGCAACGGGACAGACTTCAAGATTTCCCAGGATAGCTACCTCAACGAGAGGATGATCCTGGGAAATCACGACAGGTGGCAACCCTACATGTTCACCAGTTTATTTTAATGTTAATTGACGCATATGGGTATGCTGCCCTTTCATTATTGTACATTTTTAATGTTGTCTCCACACAGCTGTGCATCTGTTGGCTAACCAGCTCCATCTCGAGAACATTTTCCTTGACCCATGATTGGTTTCAAAGTGTGCCTGCCTTTTACAGCTCTCAGCCCTGTTATTACAAAGGCGAGAAATAATATTTTCATTGTGTGCAGTAACCAAATAGATTTTCTTTTCTTTTCCATAATGCTTCACGTATTTCTTTTACACTGAATTGATTTGCAAATCAAAACATATTTAACCTTTTTGTCATTATCGTCCAATTGCTTTGTTTCTCTGTTTCTCTATGCTCGTTGTAAATTGGCAATAATCACTAACAGCAACACTATTGATATTAGCCTCTTATGGATGACTTGGAGCAGGCCAGGTAATTAATATTCCTAAGCTAAGGTGAAACCATAAACGAGGTTTAACCTTCCACCAAATTGATTGTCAAGGACATGAAAAATAGTCTAATTGGGGATTATAATGGGCATGCATTGTAGAATTTGTTGGGAATGCTGTAGAGGCATACATACCTAGCGTGTAACCCTTAAGCCATCGTCAAAGGCCATGAACGATCCACTGCTGGATGAAGGCTTTCCCACGTCACCATACTTCAAGATCTCCTGTTGCCGTAATCCATCTGAAACCAGAAAAAAGCACGTGAGTAAAAGCAGTGATAAAAAATATAGATGAAAATGCCAAGCACAATGTAGAATATGATGCAAATCCATAAGCAAATAAATAAGATAATAAATTACAGAGCACAGCACGAAAATAATTGCGGGTGTTTTGACAAACAGTGGGGACATGTGAACAGAAAAAGGAAGTCCATTATATATAAATGACAAACAGTTGCCCTTTGAAAGTGAGATGAAACCATAACGAATGACAGTGACAGAATCGTACAACCAGTGCAGGGATTGTATGCAGATTTCTATAACAAAAATAATAATCGTATATCACGAGAAACAAATCATCCTTCAGATAAGGAGGAGAATGTTGTATATGTCATGCTAGAGAAAGTAATCACTGCCCTATGCAGTGTGGAAAGGGGCAGTTTCGAGACCTGATGGACTACCTGTGGACATCATGGGAGAAGAGGTTCAGCTGATCCGTAGAAAAATAAGAGGAAATGTTTCATCAATATGATTACAGAAATAGCTCAATTGCAGAACGATGTCTCAATCATTCTTCTTGATCAAAGTGCTCTAGGCCAGGGCTATTCTCAGGCAAACTTTCAGGAAGTATTTTCTCACTTATCTAATAAAGTGACCCACGTAATATTTTTGAGAAGAAGGGGAGCATGAACCGTGTGCACGGGCAGTGCTCTGTTATTAGCGAGCCACTTCGTGTGTGTGTTTGTGTGTCTTTTAAATGATGCCAATTTAACAGTGGCCCCGCGGCAATCACGTGTCATGGATTTTACCGGTGCCATGAGGGTATTCGATTTACTTGACTGCCTCCTGTGCCAAATGGCTTTTGGACAACTTTAGACAAGATAATATAAAAGTTTAAATTTGGATAAGAAATTTTTATTTATAACCGAAGGTACACGATGCATCCCACTTTGTACAAAACACAAACGCCGCCGCTGCTGGCTTTCTTCACTTTGTCCCGTTTACTCGAAGTACTAAATACGTCTTGGTTAGCACACTCAACTTGCCACGCAGAGATGGCTGGTGTGCTTCGATCACCCCGTGCGGCATTTGAAATATTTGGCCAAGTTTATTCAATCTCCCCGCATCTCCTCCACCCAGCAGTACAATTGGGTACACCACAATCAAGTCAATGGGCAGGTCGCGTAGGGTGGGGTAAGGTGTGGGTGTTCCCACCTCTCTCAAAATGTCTAGCCAGCGTGGAAGAGTCGACCAAAGTACCATCTTGAGGGGGCTTTCTAGAGCTCACTGTCGTGGTCACCCGCAGTGGTGTGAGCAAGCGATTGCTGAACACGTCAAAGTGCAGCGTTGGCGGGATATCTTTTTTTGTTTTAAGGCGTGTGAATCACTTGCGAGGGAATTACGTGTCGTTAGCGCTTTGAAAAGGTTTAAGTAGGGATAGAAGAAGCAATATAATTGGGCGTCATTGGACGCAGAAATGCTGGTGGCACGGGGTCACTTAGTAGGGTGGTTCCATGGCAGCGTTGCGGTGGTGAGACCGCCGCGTACCGTGGTGCCGATTTGTAAAAATGTACTTTTCAATTAGGGGTGTAATAAAAAAAACGACAGCTGTGAGCTCGGCGCCACCGCTGACATATGGACGTATGGACGCGCGGTCCCCTCTCTGTGCCACCGTCGTCAAGAGTGATGGAGCCATTGTGCAAAAAAATAATGGAACTTTTTATTGTTGGCGCAGCAGTATAATTTATAATTGCTTCTTGTAATGCGCGCATTTTATAAAACAGAGATAAGATTGTACCACGGCCGAGGGGGTGGGGGGGGGAAGTATTTTCATTTCATGAAAAACTCATTGCAACTTGTGTCCTGAAAAAGCTATTTGCCGAGGGCCGGGGTGGCAGGTTAAAATTCTACCAGTTTGACGGAATAAAAAATAAAATAAACAGAGTCTATTATCGAGAACTCCAGTGCTGCTAGGGTCAACTCATGTATACGTCTTCACCGTAGCAGGTGAAAGTAAAAACGAAATACCCTACCCTTCAGCAGCATGATCTATCATTTCTAAATGAAGGTATAAAAACAAAGGCAATAAAGCATTGCCCATGCACATGTTGCAATTATTTTAGGATCAATGAACTATGGAGTATTGGGTCAGACTGTATACCTACCGGGGGATTTTATAAAACGCTTGAAGGGATTTTGTTCCTAATGACGCCTGCTTGTGTTGCGATCGAAACGTCGTGATATTT